CAGGAGTCTCCACACGGCCCATTTCGGATGCCAAGTAAGTGCAGAGGCTGCGTGGAGCGTCTGAGAGGGGAAATCCGAGCCTTCCGGAAATCCCAAAATGGGCTAGTTTCCGGGTTCCGGAGAGCCTCGGAGCCCAGAGGAGGCCGTTTTTGCTCTCCCGGAGGCTCGGGAAAAGCCTCCGGAGCCCGGGGATTTTAAAAAATAACTTCAATAAAGGCCCAGTGAAATTCTCTGCCGTAGCAGCGGGTTTACATGAGAAGGGTGCCCCTTGGATTTTCTCAGACATCTCCTCCATGTGGGTGGCTACTGTTTTGATTTTGGGGGAAAGCAGGCAGCTCTGCTTTGCTTTGCTTTATTTTAAAGCTACTGCGGAACAACTTTGGATCCCTGACAATAAATAAATAAGATCTCAATAAGATCAGCAATGACTCATCTCGAGGTCAGCATGTTGTTATCCCTTTGCGACGGGGCTCACCAAGCTGTGCAGTCCATAAAATATGTTAAGCTGCTGATGCGTCAAGATTTTCCTATAATACGAGAGGGGGGGGGGAATGGCTTTTGCCAATATTTCATAGCTGGTCACCTGGATGATTTTTTTTTTCGGGTGACCAAGTTGATTTCTTTTTCTTTTTACAAGCCTCATAAAACTTTACCGGATGATGGCAGAGAGTAGACCAAATATTTATGGACAGAACGAGCAACCCGCCCAAAGATGGTTGAGCTTTCTGTCTCCAAATACGACCATTTGCATTCCTCGTTTGGAAAAACATTCGTATGCATTTACCCCAAATGACTGATTTCTGCAGGCATTTTGGATGAAGGTTCCCCTCGCACATATGTGCTAGTCCTTCCTGACTCTAGGAGGCGGTGCTCATCTCTGTTTCAAAGCCGAAGAGACAGTGCTGTCCGAAGACGTCTCCGTGGTCATGTGGCCGGCATGACTCAATGCCGAAGGCGCACGGAATGCTGTTACCTTCCCACNCATGGCAAGCGCAAGAAAAATTGCATAAAAGTGCATTTGCAGTCATTACCCCTCTTTGCAGAGAACTGGACAGGGGATGGTGTCCTGGGCTTCCCCAGCAGCATGAAGGTGACTCCTTCTATTTAATTTGCAGTGAAGTCTTCTCCAGCAAAGTCTTTCCTCTCCCACAGTCTTTCAAGATAGCTCACAATTACCAATCTTTATCAGGCTTGGAGAGTGGCCAGGCCGATATATTTCAGATGCTGCAATACTCAGCAAGAATGCAGGAATGAACCAATTGTCTCCTGCAAACTCCACTCCCCTTTCACTCCTCTTTTATTCCCTATAGGAGGGGTTGTTCATCGTCCACCTGTGGCCTTACTCCCAAGTTGACCTCTGTTCCTTAGCTGCTCCCTTTGTCTGGAAGCTCTGCGCATGCGCACACTGGGAACAGGCTCCAGCTGTTCTTCTGCCTCACTGATGTCTGACTCCGAAGGCAGCTGATAACTGTTCAGAGGGCCCTGGCCCCCTCTCTGCCTCCAACACAGAGCCCTCATCGGAGCCTTCCCCAGACTCCAGGACTGGCCCAGGTTCTTCCCCGACCTCACTCTCTGAATCTGCTGCCAGTTCTGCTGGTTGCTGGTGGACCACAACAGATGGGAAGAAACTCATCTAACCTGTTCTGCCTCGGTTTCAAATTTCAACAGAAAATTTATACATTTTGGAAATTACGTGTTCGTCATCTGTGCACAAGAGAATCTTTGTGATAAGAGTAAATGGTAAAACCACCAGATCCTACCGTCATTCATTTTAAACCATACGATCTGTGAGAGCTGTGGTGGTGCAGGGGTTAGACTGCAGTATTGCAGGGCTAACTCTGCCCACAGCCAGGAGTTCAATCCTGACCTGCTCAAGATTGACTCAACCTTCTATCCTTCCTGACGTGGGTAAAATGAGGACCCGGATCGTTGGGGGCAAGAGGCTGACTCTGTAAACCCAGGGACCCGAGGGAGAGGGGGATGGAGGGGAGATAGCGGGTGGGGCACTGCAGTGGCCCTTGCTAGGTGTAAGGGTGAATGATTGTGGGGTGCTGTGGCAGCCATAACTTTGGGACCAGGTCGTAGGTAGATTTGGGGGGGTCCACTTTTACTTCAAATGGCCAAGCAACCAGTTGTAAATCAAGGACTGCTCTGTACAGATAGTCCTCAACTTACAACAGTTCATTTAGTGACTGTACAAAGTTACAACGGCACTGAAAAATGTGTCTTATGACCGTTTTTCAAAGTTATGACCATTGTGGTATCCCCATGGTCACGTGATCAAAATTCAGACGCTTGGCAACTGATTCATATTTATGACGGTTGTAGTGTTCCCGGGGGTCATGTGATCCCCTTTTGCAATCAAGGGGGAAGCCAAATTCACTTAACAACTGGGTTACTAATTTATCAACTGCAGTGATTCACTTAACAACCGAGACAGGAAAGTTCGTAAAATGGAGCAAAATACTCACTGAACAACTGTCTTACACAGCAATGGAAATTCTGGGCTCAACTATGGTCGTAAGTCGAGGACTATCTTTATTAGTTGAGCGGTCTTGTATATGTGAATTATTTTTCTCCTTTTAATGTTACCCTGATTGTGGGAGGAGGAGGAGAAGAATCGGTAGCACATTTGATTATCTCCCTGATGCAGCTGCCCACGCATAAACACTTCTCCTCCAAGGGAGCCTTGTGAAATGGGATCCCTGCTCACCATTGACAGCCCACTCTGTTGACCAATTAAGCCTTTGCCACAATCAATTAACCATTATGTAAACACCAACTGTGTCAACCCAACAACTCCACTAAGCCAGGCGAGATTGGGAGACAAAAAAACGAAGCACCGGCTCTTCCCCGGCAGATAGGATTCAACGGCCGAGCGATAAATATACTCCTGGCTGGGGAAATGAAAAAACATTTCAACATTTTTACATGCCAGGATACACATTTGGGGTATGTTTGTTTGTTATCGGGCCTCGTGTCTGCGCAAGGGAGGAACATTTCCTCGGAAATGGATAGCTCAAACAAACCGAAGCCTGAAAAATTTCCACCCTGGCGTATCATACTCGATAGACAGCAGCACTCAACAAACCCGTCCTGCTAGGAAAGAGAAGGAAATATGAAAAGTCGACTTGACAAACAGGGTCTCCAGCCAGTAGTCCCCTCAATCCAAAGAGCTGATTTATAGCTAGCAAGGTTTCCAAGCAGAAGCATCAACAGCTCAACGGAGGGCAGCCGGAGCGGAGAAAAATATGTTTTTCATTTAATATCGCAGGAGAAATTTGTGGGTATGGGCTGGCAATGGAGAGGAGGAAAAAAATGGGTTGTGGGTTATCATGATGATTAAACTGCAGAGATAAATGAGAAAGATGGATGTTAGAAGGCTGTTGGTCCAAGGAATGTGTTGTTGCCCGCTGGCAGGCAGCAGAGCTGGCAGCAGAGTCGGACAGGGAGGAGGTTGGGGAGGAACACGGGCCAGTCCTGGGGGCTGAGGAAAGCTCAGACGAAGGCTCTGCATCAGAGGCAGAATCGGAGCTAGACAGCAGTGAGGCAGAGCAACAGCTGGAGCCTGTTCTCAGTGTGTGCATGCGCAGAGCTACCAGAAGACAAGAACAACTTAGAAAGCAGGGACAGCTTGGGAGTAAAGCCACACCTTGGAGGTGATTGGCCCCTCCAAAAGGAAACAAAAGAGGAATGAATGGGGAGGGGGCTTTTGCAGGAAACAATTCGTTCCTTCGGTCCTTTCAAGAGTGGAAAGTTCTGTTTGTGACTATAAGAGATTCTGTGCCAAGTGTTGCCTTGCCCTGCGTTTGGAAGCTAGTTATCTGGCAGCTCTCCAAACGAGATAAGGTTCCTGTTGATAAATATTTCTCGAAAAGACTGTTTGCTAAGCCTTGCGGACTGTGAATGTAAGGAATTCACAGTTGTGTAAATAAAAGAGGTTTTGCCAAGGCCAAGACTCCACTTCTTGCTTTTTAAGGAAGCCTAGGCCAGAACAGAATGTAAGCAGTTCTTGGGGCTGGAAAGCTACTCTGGGAAGATTATTTATTTACAGGTTTATTTATTTATTTATTTACTTGATTTACCATTCATTTAGCAACTGTTCAAAATTACAATGGTATTGGAAAAATTGTGATTCATGGCCTGTTTTCAGACTGACGATTGTTGCAACATTCCCATAGTCACGTGATCAAAATTCAGATGCTTGGCAACTGGTTCATACTTATGACAGTTGCAGTGCCTTGTGGCCATGTGAATCCCCTTTTGCGACCTTCTGACAACCAAAATGAATGGGGACGCCGGGTTCATTTAACAACCATGTGACTAACTTAACAACTGCAGGGATTCACTTAACAACTGTGGCAAGGAAGGTCTTACATTGGGCCAAAACTCACTGAACAACTGTCTTGTTTAGCAAAGGAAATTTTGGACTAAATTGTGGTTCCAAGTCCAGGATCATCTGTAATGAAAGAGTTTTAAAATACTTGCATTTCAATGCCTCAGTTAAATGTGGGTGTACTAATCTCCAGCCTTTATGGCATACCCAGAAACTTCTCTTAAAGAGCTCAGAATTCCTTTCTACCTATCTCTCACACTTAGCTAGCTAGATATAGATAGACAAAGAGATGGATGGATGGATGGATGGATGGATGGAGATAGATAGATAGATAGATAGATAGATAGATAGATATAGACAGACAATGAGATGGATAAAGATGGATAGAGAATGATGGATGAATGGATGGATAGATAGAACAATAGATATAGACAGACAGACAGACAGACAGACAGACAGAGGATGGATGGACACATGACAAACGCTAGATAGATGGATGGATGGATAGAAAGAAATAGATAGAGCTATCCATCCATCCCTCTCTATCCATCTCTTTATCTACTGTGGATGGATAGATAGATGGATAGATTGATAAGATAGACAGAGAGTAGATAAAATATGGATGGATGGATAGGTAGGTAGGCAGGTAGAGAAAGAGAGACAGAGAGGCAGACAGATATAGATATGAATGACATGGAGGCTTTTAGCATGCTCAAAACAGTGACCGTTATTCCTGAAAAGATCACTCAGGATGCCACATTTTGCCCAGCTACAGTGTCTGTACATCTTCACCAAACAAATGTTCATTTTTTTGCTCCTTTCTCCCACACAAAAAGGAAAAGGAGTGGAATTGATAGAGGAATCTCCTCTCCACTTTTAATTCTTCCTACCAAGCAGGAAGCTTGGTAGGAAGCTTTTCTCTAGCTGCCCAGCTATCATCACACCGGCAGAGCTGATGCATCTCAGTTGAGACAATTTGGGGGGGGCTTTGCAGGTGCGCCAGTCAAGAGTCAGAAAAGAGGGATGAGTAAGGTGCTTTGTTGTTAGTTTTACCTGCGTAGCATCTTTGCTTTCAAGGTATCTTTTGTCTCATTCCAGGCTTCCAGCTCAGGAGATGTTAAAGGGGTGGGCTTCATGTGATCCAAGACCATGTTGTCCTTTCCTTGCTTCCATAAGTCATACCGCTCAGGCTGTAGCAGCCGCACAAAAACATCCATAGAAATCTTCACGGTGTCTTTCCGACAGGTGCACTGAAAAAAACAAAACACAAATTTGTCATATAAAAATGCTATTGAAAAACAGTGCAGAGAAGAGCAATAAAGATGATTAGGGGAGAACGGTTGCAGGAACTGGGTATGTCTAGTTTAATGAAAACGACTAGGAGAGACATGATAGAAGTCTTCCAATATCTCAGGGGTTGCCACAAAGAAGAGGGAGTCAAGCTGTTCTCCAAAGCACCTGAAGGCAGGATAAGAAGCAATGGGTGGAAACTAATCAAGGAGAGAAGCAACCTACAACTAAGGAATTTCCTGACAGCTAGAACAATTAACTGGTGGAACGACTTGTCTCCAGAAGTTGTGGGTGCTCCAACACTGGAAGTTTTTAAGAGATCAGGCAACCATTTGTCTGAAATGGTATAGGGTTTCCTGCTTGAGCAGGGGGCTGGACTAGAACACCTCCAAGGTCCTTTCCAGTTCTCTTATTTTGCTTCAAATGGCGATCATGTGACTAATATCATGTATCAAGGTAGTAACTGTAGTGTTTTTGATTCCCTCTGAGCTTGTCTGGCAGACATTTCGTGGCCTGACTAGGTCACATTATCAGTGCTAAAAGACTATGATTTTTTTTAAAAATATTTCCATAGCATTCATTTACAGGCCATGCAAATACAATGATCAAAAAGCCAAAATGGAAACAAAAAAACCAAAACATTTTCTGGCTAGCAATCAATACCCAGATTCGCAGAGATTAACATTAAGATGAACACTAAACCAACCACCAAGCAGTAAAGAGACTCTACAATCAAAGAACCACTCCTTCAGACAAAAATTCCAAGGAACCACGAAGAACGCTTCCACCAATACTGAAAGGGAAGGCTCTGTTTACATGAAGAGAGAGCAAATTCCAGTCCCTTCGAGCACTGATGCTGTTACCTAGTTGGGTCATGAAACATCTGTTAGAAAGCACCCAAGCTCAGAAAGCACCAAGGACCCAGAGTCTTCCTCTTCCTCTTGTTCCCATCCCCTCTTCCTCCTCCATGCCACAAACAAACCCCACTTCCTCCTAGCACTGATGCTGTTACCTAGTTGGGTCATGAAACGTCTGTTAGAAAGCACCCAAGCTCAGAAAGCACCAAGGACCCAGAGTCTTCCTATTCCTCTTGTTCCCATCCCCTCTTCCTCCTCCATGCCACAAACAAACCCCACTTCCTCCTAGCACTGATGCTGTTACCTAGTTGGGTCATGAAATGTCTCTAAGAAAACACCCAAGCTCAGAAAGCATCAATAACTGCATAACCTGAGTTACAAATATTCTCTCCTCAAGGCAGGAAGCCTGGCTGATACATCAGGAGGTTGAGAGAGGGAGGGAGGGAGGGAGGGAGGGAGGGAGAGAGAGAGAGAGAGAGAGAGAGAGAGAGCGAGAGAGAGAGAGAGAGAGAGAAAGGAAGGTACATTTCACATTTCAAATAATAGTTCCAAACATTAGCTATCGAATATTATTAAGGATTTCCTCAGCCGGAAATGAAACACTGATTGAGATAAGGAAATCTTGCCAGGCTGTCGCTCCAGGAAAAAAAATGGTGCGCAGACTGTGAAACGGGAGAGAAAATGGTAACGGAGCAGAGCTTGAAGAAGAACACGGGGATAGCAGAAAGTTGAAGAAAGGAGGATTTTACTGGGTAGGAGTCTATGTCAAGAAGAAAGAAGCTTTGGCTGGGTGTCCAGAAGATTGAAAAAAAGGAGAAGAAATGAGAAAGATTGGGAAAAAAGAAATCCTCAAAGAGGAAGTGGAGAATGTTCAAAATACGGGGCTTTACATGGGCTGTGAAGTTGGCAGCTGAAAAACAGAGATAACAAAGTGGTTTCACAGAGAGATTTAACACTGATTAATCAAGCTAAACGAATTGTTATCTTGATTCCTTTTTTTTGCATAAAACACAGCATATACAGGTAATCTTCAACTTACGACCACAATGGAACCCAACTTTTCTGTTGCTAAGCGAGACATTGGTCAAGTGGGTTTTGTCCCGCTTTCTTGCCGCCGCTGTGAAGTGAATCACTGCAGTTGTTCAGTTAGTCACGTGGCTGTTAAGTGAATCTGGCTTCCCCAATGACTTTGTGTGTTCGCAAAAGACAGCACTGCAACCGTCATAAGTACGGGTCAGCTGCCAAGCGGCTGAATTTGGATCCTGTGACTCTGGGGAGACTGCAACGGTTTTTAAGGGCAGAAAAATGATCCACATTGCTTTTTTTCCCCGTGCTGTTGTAACTTCGAATGTTCACTAAAGGAACGGTTGTAAGGCGAGGACTACCCGTACTCTGTTATAGTGATGGTCGGTGTACCGTTGGAACAGTTGAAGGACCAGGTTAGGGATTGATTGTCATGGACTACATTTGTTAAATGGTTGCTAAGAGCCAACATCCATTTGATAGAAGTAATAGAATGTGTGAATGTGTTTGGGGGACGAGGGGGAAAAAAATGCTGCCTCAGAAATGAACAAAGAAGAGAGGCAGGATCCCCCAGTGGCTTAACAGTCAGCGAAAGAAATGTAATCCCTTGCCAGGTGGAGTCTAAGCAACTGAAAGGAACTGAGTGTTTACTGGCCAGATGCCATTCCTGTCACCGGTGCGGAGTTCTTTCCCCCAGCAGATGTATTCTCAGTGTGCCCGGAAGGGTAAATACCTGTCTCTACCTAGGATCGAACTCACAGCCTCCTGATTGTGAGGCGAGAGCTCCACCTCTAGGCCATTGCACCATTCTTGGTTTATCAACACAATGCAGGCCGTTAATATGTTTTAAAAAAGAACAAACCCACCTCCCTTTTAGCACTGATGACGTTACCTAGTTGGGTAATGAAACGACTGCAGGAAAATAACCAAGCTCAGAGAGCACTAAGGATCCCACAGGGCTGACAACAGCAAATACAACTTACAAACAACAGTTGAGTTCGCTTAGCGACCCTTCGAAGTGACTTACGACCGTTTTTCACAGTTATGACCGTTGCAGCGTCCCCAATGGTCACGATGATCAAAATTCAAACACTTGGCAACTGACTCATATTCCAAGGTCCCCTTTTGCAACTTTCCAATAAGCAAAGTCAATGGGCCGGGGGGGGGGGGGGAGCCAGACCACGGCAAGAAAGGTTGTAAAATGGAGCAAAACCGGCTTAACCACGGGCTCACTTAAGCAGCAGAAATTTAGGGTTGAATTGTGGTCGAGGACTACGTGTGATCAATCCAGATTCTGGCCCAGATTCTTCTGTTTAAGGACGGCTCCCCTCCCCGCTTTGATAAAAGAACGATTCCCTGCCATGTGGTGGAAAACATCGAACTGGAGAGCGGTAATAAGCTGCTTGAGCCAAAGAGGGAGGGAAAATATTTATGGCCCGGCAATTTCCAGCAAAACTCAATTTGCTTAATGAAAAACTGCAGAGGAAAAGAAAGTTCTGAGAATGTAATTTGGCCAGAGAGACGCCGAACCACAGATGGTTAGCTGCGTTTCGGATTTCTGGCCGGGCTGAAAAGAAAAAAAAAAACTCCTCTGCATCTCCATAGAGCGGCTTTCTGACACCCCCCCCCCCTTTAAGTAATTAAAAAAGGTACCTTGGTTTGTTTCTGGAAGGTTGGGGTGGGGAAAACAAGGGAGGAGAGGGAGAAATAGTTAGGGTTGAACTTGAAAAAAATCAAGGTATTTCCACGTATGGGAGCAAAATGAAGATCAAGTGCATCACACAGGAGATTAGACCAGAGGTGGTATTGGGCTGGTTCGGACCAGTTCACCCAAGCTGGTAGCAGAAATCACGGGTGGCCCCATCCATCCGCTCTGCCTCTATGGCATCCCATTTAGGCCCTTTTTTAGCCGAAGCGTATGCGCTGACACACGCTCACATTTGCAAACCAGTAGGGAAGGTTACCAACCCTGGATTAGACCCCATCTTTAAGTCACGTGGGATGTGGTGGCTCAGTGGCTAAGACGCTGAGCTTGTTGATCAGAAAGTTCGGCGGTTCGAATCCCTAGCGCCGTGTAACGGAGTGAGCTCCCGTGATTTGTCCTAGCTTCTGCCAACCTAGCAGTTCGAAAGCATGTAAAAATGCAAGTAGAAAAAATAGGGACCACACTTGGTTGGAAGGGAACAGCGTTCCGTGAGCCTTTGGCGTTGAGTCATGCCAGCCACATGACCACCGAGACCTCTTCGGACAGTGCTGACTCTTCGGCTTTGAAATAGAGATGAGCACCGCCCCCTAGAGTCAGGAACGACTAGCACATATGTGCGAGGGGAACCTTTACCTTAAGTTACCAGGTGCTAATTCATGTGGCTCTTAATAGAAATCACTAGCAAAGAACTGAAGTGGGCAATGATGCCCCTTGTAGGTCAGAGAGAGGACAGAGCCCCCAAGAATGGCCTTGCAAACAGTCCATAAAACAGGTAGCATGTTGTAGGTGCCCTGTTTTATGACTCAGAATTCCTCAGCCAGCAGGGTAGCCTGGATTTTAGGAGTTACAGTCGTAAACCTTCCAGAAGCCGTCAGATAAAAAGAGTAGAAAGTAGAAAGTGTGGGGTCTTTGGAGGTCTCCGAGTTTGGTGGTTGTCTTGCAGACGTTTCATGATCCAATTGGGTAACATCATCAGTGCTAGAAGGGAGAGTGGTTTGTGGAGTAGATCATGATGATGATGGGGGAGGACTGTGGGCCTCGGTGCTTTCTAAGCTTGGTTGTTTTTTCCCCCCAGATGTTTCATTACCCATCTAGGGAAACTCATTTGTGCTAGATGGGAGGAGGAGGAGGAGGAGGAGAGGATTCTGAGTGGTTGTTTTCTTGCAGAC